CCCTGTCCAAAGCCATGTTGCCCACCACCATGTCCAAAGCCATGTTGCCCACCACCATGCCCTAAGCCTTGCTGCTGTCCTAAACCATGCCCAAAACCATGTCCACCTCCATGTTGCTGTGCAGCAACTGATGACATTGACTTGGATAAGTTTATGGACATGTGCGGAATTGTTGAAAGTCCAACTAGCATGCAAATGGATGAGATGCAGTGTGACTCAATGTCAATGAACAGGAATGCAAAACATTCTGCTGTGAAGCAAGCATGTAACTGCAAGCAAGATGTGGTGAGCAAACATTGTTTCCAGGGTCTGATAGTATCTCTGCCTCAGCAAGGCAATACAGACTTCAGTCTAAACCCACCCTACCCCAAATAAAACCAAGGGCGGGATCCAGCCTGACAAGTTTAGGACAGAAAATGTTCAAAATAAATGATGGATGGATTTTGTAAATCTCAAAATATTGCTCCACTTTCCAACAATTAAAGGCTATGATTGTGATTTAACTGAACAGAAATCTGAAATTAAGTCTTACATTGACATTGACCTTCAAGGACTCCCCACCTCTGCAATGTGGCCTTAGCCAAAAAATGCATTAATGTGGGCTTTGGCCACATCTGAGTGGGGCAGCACTAGTCTACATCCCACTCAGCCTTAAGGTAGCAATAAAAATATTTAATTTAAATTTTAAAAGCTCTGTTATCTTTATTTTACAAGTGGATTGATCATGTGCATCAAGGAGAAAAAAAGATTTTTAAGGAAATGGTGCCATAAAGCAGAAAAGTCATATATTTCATGAGTTCTATAAGTTTCCCCCAACCCAAGGTCTGGAACCTTTGGTCCCCATAAGTTTTTGCCAGTCTGTGGGAAATTTTCTGAATTATCTGAATTTTGGAGAGAAAATTGCAGTTGAAATCACCTGAAAAAAAGTTGGATTTTCTCTGAAGATTGCTTCAGACATATTTCCCTTTGCTGAAATGAATGATTGATTTTTTTTACATTTCAGTTGCTTCAAAGGTTAACAACTCGATTTTTGCCATACTGTACATCAAACTTAATACCTGTCATGAAGTCTTCAACGAAAAAATTTCCGAGTCCGTAAATCTTTTTTAAACTTTCCAGGCCTGCAGAAATTTGTTTTTAAACTTAGACAGGCAAAGTTTCATACTTTTTTTTTGGGCCCTACAAGGTTGGGAAACCTTGTTCTAGACCATTTTGAGAGCTGTGTCAGAACAAACGCGCCAGAAATCACTGCTGAACTCATCAGAACATGGGAAATGCGAATCTAATATTGACTCTTGTCCAACTAAACAGCACCAATCATCTGCTGCAGTGGAGAGAGAAGTCAACGCAGTGTGCAAGTGCATCAATTGCACCATCAACAGGGATGCCCAAAGACTGGAAAGAGAACTTTTGGAAAGCTTGGACTGCTGCGATGAACAGCATAGAAAGCTGGCAGATGACGTGGTGCCTACCAGCAAGTGAGAAATATTCATCCAAATATTTATACTCTTCAAAATATTTTCACTGTTCTTCTTTCAGATCCGAAGACAATTGCCAGCAAGATGAAATCAACGCCATGGATGAAACTGACAAAAAGGAACAACCTGACAAGGACGACGTGGAATTCGAAAAGAACGAAGAACACATCCGGAAATCCACTGCGGAAGCTCCTCAAAAACCAGCACAAGAAATTGATTCTTTCATGAAAACCGGGAAACTCGATGAAATTCCTGGCCCTTCCGCTTCATCCAAACAGAAATTGGAGGATTTCGTCGCCAATGGAATAAGCCAGCAGAAAACCAAATCTCGTCACAAACGCCGTCGAGACTGCACTGACGATGGAAGCAGCAGGAGACATAAAATTAAACGTCGAATGGGGGTGAATTGCACATACAAAAAGACATTTTTTTTTTACGAGCAAATAAATGCGTCAATGATTTTTTTTTTCAGGGTGGTTACGACACCATTTGCAACTCTGGGAATTTGCAAGCTTTCACCAACGAAATGTTCGGAGAGGACGAATGCATTGTTCGCAGGCGCCAACCTGACATCATTTATGGCAGCGACATCCGCAAAGACAGGTCAGTAAAATACCAACTTGCAAACCAGCAAAAACGATTCCTTACCCCTGGGCAACGGTCATCTAGACTCTCAGAAAGAGTTGCTGTGCAGTGAGATTCTAGTTCTAGCAAGTAGATGTCACTGCATTCCGTCAATCTTAATTCCTATTGAGTTTTGTCCCGAAAAGGTCAATATCTTTCCAGTTCCCTCTGATTCGCACGTGCTTGGAACATTTCAAACAGTACAACTGCACAGTGAACTTCTCTTTTTTTTTTCAAAAAAAAAAAACTTGAGCTCAGTGGAAAGGAAACTCAAGTGAGGGCCGGAAGGTCGCGTTTTCTTACCGCCACTTTTTTTTCTTTCTTTCCGTTCGCATTTTCCAGACACGGCTGAAG